GGAGGCAGAGCCGGGGTGGGAGGTGGAGCCCAGGACAGGAGGCGGAGCCCGGGGCAGGCGGGAGGCGGGGCCAGGGTGGAAGGCGGAGCCCAGGACAGGCAGGAGGCAGAGCTGGGGTGGGAGGCGGAGCCCGGGGCGGGAGGCTGAGCCAGGGCAGGAGGTGGAGCCCGGGGTAGGCAGGAGGCGGAGCTGGGTGGGAGGCGGAGCCGGGGTGGGAGGCGGAGCCTGGGGCAGGCAGGAGGCGGAGCTGGGGTGGGAGGTGGAGCTCGGGACAGGAGGCGGAGCCCTGGGTGGGAGGCGGAGCCGGGGCAGGAGGTGGAGCCTGGGGCAGGTGGGAGGCGGAGCCAGGGCAGGGGGTGGAGCCCGGGGCAGGCGGGAGGCGGGGCCGGGGTGGGAGGCGGAGCCTGGGGCAGGTGGGAGGCGGAGCCAGGGGCAGGAGGCAGAGCAAGGCCCCAGGACAGCACGGGCCAGGGTCTTAGCACTGCCCAGAGTGCTGGGACCCAGTCAGGAGCAGCTACACTTGTCCACTAACTGGGCAGCCAGGGCCTGCACCCCTCCCCAGTCAGGGCTCAGCGGCAGCCCCAACCCAAAGCCAGTCCCATGTCCTGGACCTCCAATCCCCACCGAAGACCCGGTGCTAACACGTCCGAGTCCGTGTCTAATTCTGGTCAAATTCACTGCTCCGCTTGGCAGGGGTTTAGCTTCGAGACTTCCTCTGGCAGCAGAGCACGTCCTCGCTTATAGCCAGGCTGTTCCCGAGTGGGCAGCAGCACAGAGACCAGGGCTTCCCACCCCCTCCTGCGAGGGCCTCGGCCCCCGGGAAATGGGCAGCTGCCTCTCCTGCACCCCAGGAGCAGAACCGAGGACAGCCTGGCCACTGCTCCCCTGTATGAGGAGACCCGCCACAGGGCCGGGGCACTGCCTGCGGGGAGACCTCCACCCCCAGCCTCCTAAAGCAAGCCTCAACAGCCCTCCAACTCAATTCTAGGCACCTGTGGTCAGGTCGGCAGAGGGCAGCTGGACACGGGTCGGGAAGGGGCCGCCTCACGTAGCACACAGGCAGGTGGTCCGCTGGCATGGGGAAGCCCAGGCCCCTGCCCCCTTCCCAGCCCTGGGCTGTGGAAGCTGCTCTCACCCATCCTTGACCAGGGCCTCTGGCTCTCCTCTCACCCTTGACCTTGACCTCTCACCCTTGTCCTTGACCAGGGCCTCCAGCTCCTCCTTGGTGCTCTCGTGCCAGCGGGGGACGTCCATGTGCAGGGAGTAGTCGCAGCAGGCTGTGGCGTCCGCCCGCTCCCGCCACTGTTCGTAGGCCGCCAGCAGGCTCACACCCGCGTCCGGAAACACGTGGTCCACTGTGCAGAGCAGCGGGTCAGCCAGGCGCACCACGGGTCGGAGAGTCCCCCCGCAGAAAATGGACAGGAGGAAGACCACACAGGTGGGGACCACCTTGCCCGCAGCTCCCAGGCCCCTCTGCCCACCCCCGGCCTCTCTGAGCACAGAAGTGGGGTAAGAGGCTGGGCAGCCACCCAGCTCCGGTGAGTCCCGGCCCGGCAGGCGCTGACTGCCATGATACTGCCCCCTGGAGGAGAGGCGGGAGGGGCTCCCTTGCCCCACCCGGCTGCCCCCCGGCCCTGCTCCACACCACACTGGGCTCCTGTAGCCCCACGGCCTCTGCGCCCTGTGTCTCTTCTGCCAGCCAGCACCCTTGCTGCCAGCGTTCCTGCGGTCAGGTCCAAACGTTGGTCGCTGGCCGCTCTGGGACATGCCAGGCAGCTGCTCAGAGCAGGGGCCGAGCAGGAGAGCAAGATGCCCCTCGCAGGGGCTTGCGATAAACCAGGACCCCGGACAACTATTCACAGCTTGGACCTCCTGCCTGTCCCCTCAGCCTGGCATGGGCAGGTGGCATCGGCACGGCCCCCTCCCAGCCATACAGCACTGGTGGCCTGGCGGCCCCCTTCCCTGGGACCTGCTGGTGGAGGTCCCTCCCTGCGCTGAGTAAGCAAACCAAGCTGTGATAAGTGTGGCCTGTCCAGGGCCCTACGACCCCAGGGAGCCCCTCCCGTGACTGCAGCCAGGCCCACGCAGCCCAGAAGGGTGCAGTGTGTGGCTTTTCCAAATGCAGGCCCTCGCCACCATCCGGAACCAAGTGCATGTCCATCCGCCCTCACAGACCTTGGCCACGCTGCGGAGCCAGCCAGGAGCCCCACCAGAGGCTCTGGGCAGAAGGCACTGGAGCTTCCCCAGTCCCAGATATAAGAAGGAAAACAACACGTGAGGACACCTCTCTGGATGCTGCCCCCTGGAGGCTGGGCCCGGACACTCACAGACCATGCTGCCCCCTGGAGGCTGGGCCCAGACACTCACAGACCGTGGTGGTCCCTCCCGCCAGGGCGGCTGTGGTGCCCTGCGCAAAGTCATCAGCGGGCGCCATGCCCAGCGCGGGCGCCTGCAGTCTGGTGTGCACGTCGACTCCGCCGGGCAGGACCATCAGGCCATGGGCGTCGATGGTTCGGATGCCCCCAGGGACGATGAGGTTCTCCCCGATTTGTCTGAAAGCAACATTCGGTCACACCATGCCTGCCACAGAGCCAGCCCTCCAGTCCCGCAGCTCCAGGGGCAACACGGGGGCCGGGACCTGTGCCTTCCAACCCTCCCTTCCTGCTCCTGCTTGCGCCTTCCGGACCAGCAGCCCAGAGAGGTCAGGATCTGTTAAGCACAACATTGTATACCATGTCCTCCTAAGAGTTGTGGAAACACAAGACACATGGTAGCCTGAGGCCTCACACTGCCGGGGGAGGGGGTCAGGACTCAGGCCGGTGGGGGAGGGTGGTGATCAGGACTCAGGCTGCGGTGGTGTTCAGGGAAAGGGGTTCCAAAAAGATGAACACATCCACCTGGCTTCCACCTAGACACAAACACCTGCATATGGGGTCACCAAAGCACACACGTGTGACAGCCTTGCACTCCACTCACGGGGAGTAGAAACTTACTTAATCAAGCCATCTTCCACATACAGATCGGCATAGAAGGACTGGTCATCATTCACAATCTTCCCACCTTTGATCAGGAGGCGGTCACTCTGGTGGAAACAAAGAAATGGACATTTTCCCCTCTAGACTGAGCCATTCATCTCCTTCCCCTGGGATTACCACTGAGCCATGTGGCACCATCTGTGGATGGATAAAACCAGCTCAGGCCAGGTGCCAGTGGCTCATTTCTATGACCCAGGCCACTCAGGAGGCTGAGCTCTGATGGTCACAGTTTAAACACATCCTATTCAGACAAGAGACACTTGTGTCCAATTAACCAAATTAAAAGCTAGAACACCAGCCTTGAATTAAAACAAACAAGAGGTGGTGCACTGAGTTCAATACCCAGCACCAGCACACTCAGAAAAACTGCTCAGGTGCCTTAAACTGTCCATGATAACTGAGGAGTTACTATGCTCAGAGAGGGTGCTCAGCGCTGCAGAGGGGACTTCACACAGCCCTGCACCTGCTGCTCAGTCATGCGCGGAGACAGAGGGCTGAGCTGGACAGCAAGCACAGCTGTGTGCCCAGCCCACAGCCTCAGAGACCCACCCCAACCATGTCGTCATCCACCTGCTCAAGAGGCTGGGGGCTGACAGTGCTGGGCTTCTGCTGCCCGGAGCCCCCAGCAGACACAGTCCTTTCCCCACCCCCTCCCCTGCTCCGGAGGCCCCTGCAGAGACAGATGGAAGCAATAAAACACGTGCACAAGTCATCAGACAGACACACAGAGCACAAGCAGAGAGACAGGCAGAGGGTGAGAGGGGGTGGGGCTGCCCAGGGCCGGTGAAGGCCCCCTCGGGGTCTGTGCCAGGAAGCATCCCGGGCAATGAATGGCCATGGAAGGCAGGACAGAGTTGGAGTTGTACCACCCCAGAGGAAAGTGGGGGCTGGAACCTTCTAAACAGAGGGGCAAGAGGCAGGAGCAGGGCTCAGAAGGGCAGTGGTGGGGCACTCGGGGCTAAGTTCCAGGTGCTGACGCCGCGGGTCACCAGCTGGTCTCTGTTTGGCGCTGGAAGGAGATTGACTTGGCTGCCATGGGAAGTAGGGAAATGGGTGACTTGGAGGTTGTCCACATGAGCTAGAGATCAGGGCCCAGGGTTATGGACCTGGGGGGGTGAGAGATGGGGCTGGGATGAGTCCAGTGAGCAGGGCTTAAACGTAGAGGGACCATGGGGGAGGAAGGGCAAGAAAGAAATCAGTTGGCCACAGGTTTGAGGCTGTCTAGAGGCTCCCCAAGTAAGTAGGCCAACGGCCTGAGGCTGAGGCTGGCGCTGGCTCTCAGAGAAAACCCTGGCAGCATGGGCCGTGGAAGCCAAGGGCCAGGCTATCATACTTGGCAGCCATAAAGCCTCTCCTAAGAATAAACCAAATGGTCAAGGAGGAGTTGCTCCTGGTATTTCCAGAGGTCCTCAGGGGAGAGGCGTGGAGAGACACAAAAGAGGGGAGGAGCCAGGGGGGAGGCTGGATGAGGTGTCCTGTCCCTTCCATTACTGTCTGCATCTACTGGGAAGCGGGCTGTACGCCGGGAGCTCTCGCTGCCCATGGAGAGGCCAGGCCAGGGCCCCTGCCCCCAACTCCTTCCCCTAGGGAACCAACCCAGAGCGCACTGAGCTCTGCAGGGCAAGAGGTGGGGGAGCTGGTGTGCCATGCCCTGGCCTCGCTGACACACACCACTCCGCTGAACTTTGAAAATGGTGTTAATGAAGGGCCAGTCCACCACCACTAAGTCTACCAAAAGGTTGATGATAAACTAAGCTGCAGCCAGATTCGGCCCTCTACCTGTCTTTGTACAACCTGCACCTGCATATTGGTTGGGGAAAAAAAAAACAAAAGAATATTACATGGTTCACAGAAGTGCCAAACGCATTAATATTAAGTGATTTAATAATAGTAGTAATTAATAACACCAGCGCAGTGTCACGAATAGTCACACCCATGAGCCACCTTGTACGTGGCTGGGACCGGCCGAGGCGTGTGGTCCTTCAGGCTCGAAGTATCACCTGGTCCTAGAAGCCTGTGGACCTGGTCCCCAGCGCCGCGCCCCTCCCCACAGTGCTCGCCCCGCCCCGCCCCGCCGCGTCACTGCTCCCAGGCCTGGCCCGTCCCCGCACGACCCCACCATCCTCAGCAAACCCCGGGAAAACCCGCGCCCGAAGCCAAGGCCCGGCTGGGGGAGGCCGTGGTCTGGGGTCTCTGTTCGCAGGGGCCGAGGGGAAGGACGGGCTGCGGGATGCCCTGGCCGGGCCCCTGGCCAGCCCGG